AAAAAAAAAAAAAAGAAAAAAGAAAAAAAAAAAAGAGTAACATTTCATTAGATTCTTACCTTGGATCAAATCTTTGGCCTCTTGGGATACATTCTTCCAGGCTTCTCCTTCAAAGGAGAAGTCTCCCTTTTTAATTTTCTTCATGATTTCCACTGCGCTGGTACATGTCAAACTTCGGTCATGAGATTGGAAGGGAACCTGTCCTGACAACATTGTGTACTATCAGGGAAAAAGTAACAAAATAGAATGACTACTCAGATATGTTAAAGCCACTGTCTAATAATCCTAATAGTAACGTCATCAGTATAATTTACTAACTACTACGACTAGCATAATTGAGTTTAAAAGATTATGTAACTTCTATCACTGAGGGAGCAAATACATCTCAAAGAGTTGTAAACCAGTGGCATGGCTTATTCTGATGTAAAGATTTTAAATCACATTTATAAATATATTCAGGGCAATAAGAACAAAAATGGATAATCCAACTGCTGCAGAAAAGATGGTATTGATGTTAACAGAAAATAGAGACCGCAGAATCCCTTAATAACTATGCTTTTCTATACATTTCCACCATTCTTTCCCCAGGACACGGAACCATGGTTAAGGACTTGAAAAACTTTATATAAGCATTCCCATTTGATCTGTAATTACCCCTGTTTTTATTTTATTTTTCTCACTCTTGTCTTAAATACAGTGAATTATCTACAGCCACCTGTTTTCATTGTAGCCGTATGTTTGAAATCTATGTTTAAGATTTTTCCCCTTTAAAAAGTTAACAGAATAACAAGCCAAGCCTTGTCTTTGTAGCAGAGATTGGATTTTAGAAAAGCATTCCTTTAAAATTCTTGGCGGGGGGAGGTTTCTCTCTGCTCGCTGATTTTTGGTTTTGCAGAGATGGCAGGCTGGTCATGAGTGGTGGTGGGCTGCCTGGTGTTAAGTAGCTGGTGTCTGCATATGGACCAGAGTGGACCAAAAGACGGCCCCACCAAACAGTGTGAAAAGGGACCGGTGGTGTCGGCAGGAGCCTGGGCTGAGAGAAGCGTGTTCATCATGGCACTTAGGAAGGGACACAGAGGGGAGGCTCAGTGTCAACCCCAACCCTTATTAGGAAGCATGGAAGCCACAAGACACTCCGGTGATCTAGAAACAATATGCCATCTTTGTTTTCTGGTCATGCGTCTGAAAAGTAGGCTCACCCTCACAATGGCAAGACAGTGAAGCAGCTCTTACACATTGGCTCTCAGAAAAGATGGAAACTCCTAGACAAGCTAATAAAAATAACATAAAAAGGACAACCAGTAGATCCAATAGGTACATAATAAACAAACTATGAGTAAGAAGGATGGAGAAGACAGGAGTAAGACCCAGACGCAGAGGTAGAGAAACTTGACAACTCTGAGGTTACAAGAGACTAGAAAGCTTTGGGCAAATTTGGATTTTCTGAAATAGAAAATTGTGCCTGAGAAGAATAAAAATTATATGCATGAGAATGTGCAGAGTTTGAAAATAGAAGAAGACATGGAGAAAGAACCATGTCCTAATTTGGAGCAACCTAACAAGGAAGATTAATTGCTCTAAGAAGGGCAATGTCAGGACATCTGTAGAACACAGGAAAAACTCCCTAAAACCTTGATGTAGCTTCAAGGCAGGCTACGACTAGGTCTCAGTGAGCCAGTCCACAGGCTGGCAGTAACTGTCCAAGATTAGGCTGGAGTCTCATAACTGATGCTGTGCCTCCACCTGCCCCTCACCTGACTTCTTGCCTCCTGTATCCTTCATGCAGACACCAAAGTAACAGTCATGCAACTTAAATCTTACAACATCTCCCTGTTCAAATCCCTTCACTGGCTTCTTTCAGTCTCTGACTCTCGCCTCTCTTGTTCAGCCTCAGTTTCTGCAGTTCCCCATATTCCAATCTTGTGTTCCCCACCAACAGTTCTTGGGCCTCTGGGACTTTCCATATGCTGTTGGTCTCCTTAGAATGCCATTTTCTATGACCAGCTGGCAAAGTACCAAGCATCCTAGGGTGCCTAGGGTGTAACCTTTCAGTCTGGGTAACTGGGAACTCTGCAGCCCTCTACTCCAGAGAGAAGACATGTGGCACAGAAGCCAGGGAAATGAGCATTAGGGTCACACCTGGCTGCAAACAACTGCTTTTTCAATTACTAGCTTCGAGACGGGCAAATTCGTTAACTTCTCTTAGACCATTTCTTCATGGGCAAAAGAATCAAGTCATATATGAGGCTATATGAAATCATATACCTAGTACTGTGTCTGACATACAGTAGGTGCTCAGCAAATGGTTAATCAGTTTGTCTCTTAAGGCTTCCCCTCTATGGAAAGAACCCTTTCTTCATGACGTTATCCTCTACTCCTGTATCCACAGAACTGGGGGCCAAAATCCACACAGCCACTGAATTGGTATGCACACCTGTAGATGCCTTATCACTTTGTGGGGTAACTCAATACAACTGCTCACCTTGTTAAGCCATGAGCTCTCTAGAAGCAGAACTAGGTCTTATGTACCACTCTGTCCCCTGAACCTTGCATAGTCCCAGAGTTTGCTATCCCAATATCATTATTTTCTGAATGAGTAAGAACTCTTTAAGAATACCTAAGACAGGAATATGATAGAGACTGTACTGTGGTCTTGATTAAACAGAGGAATGCCACCAAATGACAGCTCTAATGAGTCTGTGGAACTTGTGTTACATGTATTCCAGACCCCCTCCTCTTCCTCAAATGCCAGGAATTCAGCTCCTTTCTGCCCTCTTTCTACAATCCTATTTCCCTGACACTTGCTACTGAATAGAATATAGTTTCCCCAGGTTTTGCCTTTCTAGCTGCAGTTTACCTCCCCAAACATGGCACAAAAGTTCTCCTAACATCTATGGGGAAGCAAGGAAAGGAAAGTAGGGCAAAATTAGTCCTGTTAATGCAATAAGCATCATTATAGGGTATTTTCCTGATCCCCCAGAAGTGGAATGATGTAATTCTCATTCTGCAGAGCAGAAAACTGGGCATGGAAGTCAGGTTAGTAGCCTGCCCAAGATCCAGCCTGAAAGAGGAACTTAGCAGTGGTGGTGGAGACAGTGCTAACAGTAGTAATAAAAGGAGCTAATGTTTATGGACTGCTTTCTTTGTGCCAGGCTCTGTTCTAAGTACTCTATTGGTATTAGTTGGTTTAATCCCCACAACAATCCCATGAGGTAGGTACTATTATCATCCCTATTTTCCCAAAAAGTAAAGTCTTAATAACGTGCCTAAGCTACATTACTAGTAGGTGGCAGTGGTAGGACGTGAATCCTAACAGTTAGTCCCCAGAGTCCAAATGCAGTGTGTTTGACAGTAAATCCTACATTTGCTTTACTAATCCTTATTCAGAAGTCATGAAGTTCCAGAAATTTAACGTCATCATCTTGATATCATTTCCTGGTAAACATGTCTACAAGCCATTCTAATTTTATTTTGGGCACCTTTCTTAGAGGGTGATACACCCTAAGCCCTATTGCCATAACCCCATACTACACAGTTCTTTTGTTTTCTTCCTGCTTTTTTCTCAGACTGATTTTTTTAAAAAACAAACTTTTATTTACACATAACATGCATACAGGTAAGTGCCAAATACTAGGTGAACAGCTTACTGACATCCCAAAATAATACCTGTAACCCAGCACCCATATCCAGAAATAACATTCCCAGCATTCCAGAAGCTCCTCTCTTATGGAGCATAAAACCTGATGGAGGCCAGGAGTGGTGGCACATGCTTGTAATCCCAGCATCTTGGGAGGCTGAGGCAGGAGGCTCAGTGGTAACAGTAGTAATAAAAGGCAGGAGGCTAGGGGGTTCAAGATAAGCCTGGGCAGCATAGCAAGATCCCCATCTCTACAAAAAATAAAAGTAGCCAGGGGCAGTGGCACACACCTGTAGTCCCAGCTACTTAAGAGGCTGAAGCAGAAGAATTACTTGGGCCAGGAGTTTGAGGCTGCAGTGAGCAATGGAGTGAGACCCTCCTGTGGTCTACTTAAAAAAAAAAAAAATCCCCAAATCAAAAAACTTGGAGAAGAAATTACTGCCATGGGAATATTCATCTGAGACTCAGAATTCAACTTTCTGGCAGATACCTGGAGTCGGTGCTGGCAGCTGAAATGGCTCCTTGAGGCTTGGACACAAAAATAGTATGGGGTAAATTAAATGAGATGCTGAACTTCCTTGGCACAGTACTGAGGAAGCAGTTCAACAGCTAAGGAAAGTGAATGACTGCTGGAAGAGATGGACCACATAAGGCTTGAGAACCTACCATCTGCCAATGCTCCCAGGGAGGGCTTAGAGCACAGTCCTGTCACTGAGGCAGTAAGGAACATACTGGCGAGAGGAGGACTGTGAAGAGAAGTTTGGTGATGGCTGTTCACAGTAGGCCAGGGTTGACAGTGGAAGGAAGTGGTTGCCATAGAACTGAGCTCTCTAGCATCAATGGGATGATAGGGTTTAGGCACAGCAAAGACCAGGTGGCCTCACTTAACCATCAGTGGCAATAAAGCAAGGCAGACAATCACGATGCCTTGACTTGGAGGGATCTGCAGCTCTGGCTGACAGTGAGGGCAAGGCAGATGGAAAGATGACTAATGTTGCTTGACTTGTTTAATGTTTCTTTCACTGATAAATAGAAAGGCTGGCATCAGCCACTAAACGGAAGAAATCAGTGTCCCTCACGCAGTTTCTCGATCTACATCAGTTCACAGGCCCACAATTCTTGATTGATGGGGAAAACAGATCCCTTTGAAGAAGGGACTTAAAATGCCACAGCAAGTATAGGCAGTAGAGTTCCCTAATTTTTCCACAGAGGGACCTGTGGTCACTTGCCACGGTATACTAAAAAAGGGAAAAACCCAGGCTTTTATGAGACCTATTTGGGGTCTAAGCACTGACACCAGGGGACCCCAAAACATTCTAATGATCCTCTGGTGGGCATGGGACTTGTTTACACAGATTACAGATAAAGTTTTGGCCAAAGTTCATTTTGCAGTGCTTAGTACTATCATGGTGCTCACATTGGTTTCCTGACTTTTGGAGCAAGAGCCATGATGGGAGGAAGTACCAAGTGGAAGCCCTTGAGGCTGTCTCCAGCCAAGATCATAAGTCACAAGCAAAACCTCTTATCTGAGAGATTAATGTCACAATTAACTGAAGAATACAAGAGTGGTAGGCCCCACCAC